CCTGAGTGTCTCCAATCACAGCCTCCAACCAAGGAAACCTGAGTGTCTCCAATCACAGCCTCCAACCAAGGAAACCTGAGTGTATCCAATCACAGCTTCCAACCAAGGAAACCCTGAGTGTATCCAATTACATTTTCCTACCAAGGAAACCCTGAATGTATCCAATCACAGCCTCCCATCAAGGAAACCCCTAGTGTATACTACTTTCTCAGTCTCCAACCCAGGAAAACTAGATTGTATCCAATCACAGCCTTCCCCCAAGGAAACACAGAGTGTATCCAATCACAGTCTTCCCCCAAGGAAACTCCAAGTGTATCCAATCACAACCTCCCATACCAATCAATTCCATCAAATTAACAAGAATGTTCATTAATCACTATCCTAACTAGGAAAGCCCCAGACTGTGCACCATGCCATAACCAGTACGCAGTCACAATTCTATAAATATTAACATATAGTATGTATATATATATATATATATAGTCTAGAAGATCATATTTAGCAATGATATAACATGGAATACAATCTTTTTTTTTTTTTTTTTTTGCATTCTATAAAAATAGCACCACTTTCTTCTACAAATTAAAACATTCTAAAGGTTATAAGTTTGTGGAAAGATAACAAAATGTTTTCTCATTTATACACTCTAGAAATATTCCACTAACAAGGGAAAGCTTGGGTGCAAGCAAACTCTGCATTAAAATATCAAATTTTTATTATGAGATCATACATAAAATGTACATTTCTCATTCACACAAGAGTTATCCTTCCTGGCTCACCTCTTCTGTGATGTGTGGTCCCACTTTACCTGTGATAACATTTGTGATGAGGTGGGGGAGACCTGAAGTTGGAAACAGCATATGTCCAATGCAAGGTTTAGTATGCGTGTTGGACTCATATATACAGATTACATGTAGACCCCACAAGGACATGCTGCCATAGCGATGTTGTGTGATCCCCTATACCCACAGCAATCGTGTCTCAACTACAGCTATGTCAAAGTTCTGGGCATGCACATTAGGTATCAAATTACAGACACATAGTTGAAGTTCTCCATGCACAGCACAGATTTTGCCCATTATAATCCAGAGTGCGGTCTGCTGTCTAAAAAGACTTCCTGTAGCTCTGTAGTGCAGCAGATGTTGCTTCGATGCATTGAATGGTTTTAGGCTACCATGCTGGTTTTGAATATATTTGTCATCTTCACAAATAATGAATCATTGAAAGATACAGGAAGAAAGACAATTCCATAAAGTTGGATCACCATTATATATACCAGTGAACGTCTCATCATCCTTCCAGATGGTGTCACATCTTCAAATGGAATTAACACTGAATTTTCGTTTCACTATATTTGTCTTGATAAATCAAACAGCTACCACCTTCCGAATCTCCAATCGTTTTCTACTCTGTAAAGTACCAAGAAATGCACCAGTTGTCAATATATACTCTTATATCAAAGTTTCCCTTCCAGTGGTTAATATCAAGTGGACAGACTGCAGTACATGCAACTATGTACATAGCAGATTAAACAACAGCATTAGTAAAAAGCACATGATACATATTGTTTGATCTATACAATAAAAACAGGCTGTAATCATTTCTCTAATGTTTTGGTGAAATGCTTTTGAAAAAAAAAAAAAAAGAAAAAAAAACCCACTTTTTTTCTTTTTCTTTTTACTGTCAAAAATGTCATATGGATAGAAAACAGTTTGCCTTATTGTAAAATGACATTATATTAGTAAAATTATTAGTATATTGGACCACAGACTTAGATATAAATGTATCTCAGTCTGTGATTGGACAGATCAACTGTAATGTTATAAAAAATCTGAACAACATGGATTGAGTTTTGGAGTTTGTCCATAAACCCGCTACCATATAAAAAATTTCTATAAATTCAAAAAAATATGTCTTTTTACCATTAAAGGACAGAAAAGGGCTGAAAGACCCACAGTATGGACCAATATTATAATGGTATATAAAATTATTGAAATTATGATAATATCATGAACAACAATATATTAAGATAAATGTGTAATTACAAAATATGCAAAACTAATCAATAGTGTAAATACAGCACAGTGCAGTGGTTATAGGAGCAGATGCAAAAAACTTAATAAGATAATATAATTACTATATATGTAAGTACATATGTAGAGGTATACAATTGTACATGCACGCCCGATCTGTAAGGTTCAAACTCCAAACATGTGCACTGGACAACATTCATTGCATGCGTGATCACATTGTTATGGCAACCATTTAGTCCTATTTTTTGAGCTAGCCAACAGTTTTCAGTTTTGTACTGGGACAAGAAAATCTACTGAAATCATTATGTCATGACTTAATTTGAAAAAATATTCAAAGTCTAAAATTCTCAACAGAAACAAACTTTATATAAAACTAAAACATTATTATAAACCGTTTCACACCAAAGCTTGCTGTTGTGGTAGAGAACACCTTACCAGAACAGGCCTTTGGTAGTTAGTAAGGACTCACCAACGGCCAACAAATCAGGTATGTCATATTCTAGGATTAGCATTCACATTCTGAAAACTCAAGCACTATGAGATTGTGAGACAGGAATTTTTACAAACTGTTAAAATTAAGGTATTAACACAGTCCACTGGTTTGTTGAGTGAATGAAAACCTTACAGATCGATGTGTGTAGAAATAACAGAGTGCAAATAATGCTTAAAATGGTTATAAAACATATTAGTATATAAATAAATACATCCTATATCATTTAGTAACTGCAACCAGTCCTGGTCAGTGGTTAGAGATCACTGCACCCAATACTGGTCAGCAGTCCGAGGTCAATGCACCCAGTACTTGTCATTGGTCAGAGGTTGATGCACCCTATACCGGTCAGAGGTCACTGCATTCTAATATTGGTAGTAATCAAAGGTTACCACATCCAGCACTGGTTAGCAGTCAGAGGTTACCAATATTAGCAGTCCGAGGTCAACTCATGCAGTACTTGTTAGTGGTCACAGGTCACTAAACCCAGTACTGGTCAGTAGTTAAAGATAATCATATCCATTGCTGTTTAGTGACCACTAGTCAGCACCTCTGACACTGTCCAAAGAGCCAGCTCAGATTAGTTAAAATGTCTGCAAAAACATACAAGGTTCAAAGGTCAAAGAATATGGGACTAAGGGAAATATGTGATTGGTTAGGCAACAAGCAAAGTTCAAGATAGAGTTTGATAAGATGACAAGGGAAACAGGTGGGCAGGCAGCTTTATAACACTGGCAGATGATGCACAGGTTGCTATGTGAAGACCATTCCATGCAGGGTCACGGTGCACCTCCCAGACTTAAACTTGGTAGCTTGGGGATAATGGATCTCGTCTGCTAGACATGGAAAGAGACAAAACACATTCATAAAGTGTTAGTACAGTGGAGACACCACTGGGAAAATTAGAAAATAAAGATTGAATAATACAGGTCTGATGAAAGAAAATACACAAGTAACTACAAATCACCTGACTTTGTGGTATAATAACAGATTACTATAAAAAAAGGCAATAGCTGGAAGGTCATTAGCATGACCTTTCAACAAAAATTTGAAAAAAAAAGTTAAAATAGCTCAAGCGACAAATTTCAATTAATTTTTAGACACATCTTAAAAGGTTAAGCATTTGTATTTTTTAAAATTTTTTGTTTTGTTTTTGTCTTTTTTATCTTCTCATACTCTATCTAAAACTGTAGTTCAAGGTGTAGATAGTCTCATTTCAGTTGTTTAGTTTGTGATTAAATTATTACAATTTAGGTTCAGGATATAGACATATTCAGAGATCAAGAAACACCCCAAGATATTCAGAATTTTCAATGTCTAAAATATTCAACTAGAAATTTAATGCATTTGCATTTCCATTGTTTATAAATTTATGTTTTCATTGACAAGAGTTTGTTCACAATCAGTTCTCTAAATGTATTTATATATGTAATGACTTGGGGAAAAAAAAGAAGACATAACTCCATCATGAAGATTTTAGCTAACTTACATCAACACCAAAAGACATTTTTATTTTTTTATTTTTAAGTCTACAGAAAATATTTTAACAATGGTTATTCAGAGCATACAACATAGCTTGAAAGACTCTCTCAAATGCTTTATGTGTAATTAAAAAAAGAAACATTATTGTATAACAGGTTCTGGGTTCATAGCTTGTTAACTTGCCATGTTTAAGCAAATCTTGCAATAAATGTATTGTTCTTTCACACAATACCTACAGGGTACACTTTATATACAGTATCTAATTTTGAGATGTCACAGAGGTATTTAATTAAAAATGAAAAGAAAAAAAGAAAAATTCTTTCATAGAATCACATAACTAACAGTCAGTCAACAATCTGGAGTGGGAAAATTTAGTAGAGTTAAAAATAGAAAATGTACTGACATGCAAGCAGGCCAAGGTCATACTTTAGAGGAAACAACAATATGTATGTTACAAGCAAGGTAATTTGATTAAGAAAAAAAATATATTTCACACAAATGAAAAGTGTTATTTTGGCATCATCACTCTTAATAAAGAATAATTTCAACTAAAATGTTCAGAAAATGACTTTGAATTTTAATAGTAAGTTTAAAGACTTCTAAAAATACTGTATCCTACTATCATCATAGAAATAAACAACATTCTTATCATTTCAAAAACATTATGTAAATTTTACATATATATATATCATTCAAACTTTTTAAATAAAATTGTCCAGTTTTACGATATCAAGTAAAATTCAAAGTCATTCTGTCTGATGAGATATTAGGTAAATAAATCACTAACAAAGTTCATATATTTCGTAATTTCATTTTATTTTTTTCATGTAAATTCATCTACAAATTTTTTCATGCAAACTCATTAAAATATACTGTGTTGAACAAGAATAAATAACTTTAGCAGATCTATATTACATTCAGTATTATATCTATATAGAAAATATGTACATGTTTACAGGAAGAATTAAATATTCTGAAAAAAAATTAATTTGCAAACAATAAAAAAATCTAGAAATTTCAAATAATAAATTTAAATAATAAAATCAACAATTAGAGACTGAAAATTAATAACAATAATAAGAAACAATAGCACACAAAAAGATAAAAATTGTTAACCCAGTGAAACAAAAATATGGAGTGCTAATGGAACAAATCTACATCAGTAATTATAACATGTGTAAGTACACCACTAGGAAATTCTATCACAGGTGTTATACAAAAATAAAGTGCTGCTTCAAACAAATTAAATAAGACTAGTAATTGTATCTACAACACATGCCTGGCTCTTCATTAGCTGTTCCCTCCTTTAGATGTATACATTTAAAAAATACATCACAATAAGATATTTTATACAGATTACAAAACCTCATCTGGATTCACTGACCAATGTTTATGTAAGGACAGTAACAATGTCAACAGTCGGGGCACTTTTATCATAATGACCCACTAATATTCCATTAATAAATATACAAGTATATTGAAGCATTATGCCAGCATAAGCAAAAGCTAAATGATGAGGCAATGGTTGCAATATGAATAACATATACATATACAGTCATTTAGAAATTTGGTCAGTTTGTTTCAGTGTGTAGTTTCCTTTCTTTAAAATTACAAAAGTGAGCAAAACATTGTTCCCAAACCTATCACAATTCAGACATGCTACAGAGACATAACTTATCTAAGCCAAATGCTCCCTTCACAACTAATAAGCATTTTATCTCATTTGACTGTAGTAAAATATCAAGAAAGGAAATGTCAAAGATTATCCTACACGGTCGTTCAGAACATTCCAATCTTATCTCTGTCATCTCTGAATTAAAATTCCATAATACATTACAATATTGCTCTTTTCTATCTCCATTCATTCTCCTTTTTTCCCTCGACTAATCAAAATTATTTCAAAATATATATTTTCCGTCATATTTCAACAGATACTTCTCATTCTGAATAAAATTTTAAATAATAATTTACAGTTGAACATATTTCAAAGTTGGCCACAACAGGAACTGAATAGTAACATAAAGAAAAGTTTTATTCATATGAATTGCTACTTGTCTCTTTCCCTCATATCAATGGGTGATTAAACCCAAGTGGAATCTAACTGTACCTAGATAATATTAAAAATTATTCAGTCATTCCCACAAACTCAGTCATATTTTCATGGCATATGACAATTAAAATGATACAGTGAAAAAGGAAGACCTTCAGCAAATAAGTTGTAATATCACTTATGAATGCATTTTATTCTGAAGGAGAACCCAGTGCAGGGGAGACAATCTGCTCTTGGTCCCAATAGACAAATTCTTGTTATAACAGTAACAAATGATCAAACCCACAATGGACTTTTAATGTCCACGTCATAAAAATTAAAAATAAATTACATTCCAATTTTATAATCTCTTTCCGGATTGAGTGATTAATAAATAACAACTACAAAATAAAATATATATCTAACTATCTGGACTCCTTATGGCTCATTCTAGGATGTCTATTTACAAATGTAAATATTTTGTAAGTAAAGAAGGCAACAAATGAAAGAATCAGTAATACAGCAACTTTGTATGAAATTAAAATAAGATTAGAAAAGAAACAATACATTTTGAGGTTAAAGTGATTAAACTATATCACACAATCATTCATGGTTAACGAAAACAAATAATTTAAACAAAAATCATGGGCATATTCAGGAAATACCTACACTGACATTCCAGCTTTCTTTCAGCCAGTAAAATGTTTGGATAACTATACATATTGTTTTCGGTTTGAGCAACTAAACAGAATATAAATGAAAATCCTCAAAGTTTATTTTCCAAAAATCTTGTCAGTCCATGATTTGTGTAGCATCTTGTCGGTTGAACAAAGAAAAGTATTCACAAAAAAGTTTTGGACCAAATCCAAGTGTTTAGATGCTTAGTGGACCACCAACATACCACACAACTAGACACAGAAAGCTGTACATCCCATGGGAAGCCTTAAGCTCATGTTGTCAAGGTTAGCAATGTCCGGAAACAATAATGTTCTTGACTGTAATTGATACACAGGAAGGGGGTACTGCTCTGATATGGAAAATTTTGTTTTAAGTCACAGACATAATGGGGTAATGACTTTGGAGGAATCTCTCCTATTCATAAGCACTGAAACCCACTCTATGATATTTCATTCAGTCTGTTAATGTGACATCTTCTTTAATTTTACTCCAGTATCAGATTGTCTAATAATGTATCACCATGGCAACAGGTCATTTAGAGCTTTCTGGACTTGTCATGGGATAGTACAGCACACCACAATATCAAATGGACTATGGGAGTGTCACATGGGATACAAGTGTTGGGACGAACTACAGGACAGGATGGACAATACGACACAGTCAGTCAGGATGAGTGCTTGAACGCTGAGAAGTTGCTTGCTATTGCTGGTAGAAGTCTTACTTTTTTCCTGGTTCCACTTAAAAATTCTTTGTACATATCTGAGCGAAGGTAACGACTGTAACTGTCACTTTTCATAAGCTTGAATATGTGATCCTGAAAAATTCAATTAGAGAATATCATTTTTATTTACTCATATTTACTTTTTATTTAATTTATTCTTAAATCGACTATAAATCTATGATAACAAGGGGCCTAGTGGCCTTGACAGTCACCTGAAATAAGCAATATTAAATATAAAGGTTATCAGGTAAGTAGCTTTCAAGCAACATGAAAAAGAGATTGTGACATTGATGACAGTGTGATTTAAGTAATATGTTTTAATCCCTTGTAGGTTAGCCAGTGTCAGTATATACCTACTATCAAAACTGTCATCCTATACTACTAATTCTTATCAAGTTATTTCCAGTGGGAATAAACAATTTCAAGAAAAACAGGCAATTTTTTCATAAAAACTATAGAAGCTTTACTCCATCCCTAGGGGGAAGGTGGGACCTTAGGGCCATGAAATTCCCAGTTTTAATAGAGCACATCAAGAATCTTCTATCCATTTGATTCTACCATATCTAAGAAGCTGATTTTTAAAATATGAATCAATTTGAGAGCTTTATGCTCCACCCCACAGACCCCTTGGGTTGGGAACTATTTAATTCACCACTTGTGTTCATCTTTGGTTCGGGAAGGTTTCCATATAATTTCACTGAAATCGGTGCAGGTGTTTTTGAGAATAAGTTGAAAATGTTAAAAGTTTACAGGCGCACAACGTTGGACAAAAGGCAATCGCCAATAGGTCAACAGTTGTATGTCTTGTCCTTTATGTTGATTATTTTGATCGCAAGATACAATGTTTAAAGTTACGACACTTATATAAACTAAAAAATTAATAAAATTGAGGGTCTTCATTATCATAACAAACCAAGATTATTAGACAAAGCACAGCCAAACATATATATAAATACCTACATAACTTGGCTGGGAGTATTCATTATTACCACAGATTGAATTGAAACTGAAGGTAGAATTTATCAAACACATACCTGAGCTTCTTCAAAACAATATCGGTTGGGGCAGTTTTCCACCCGCGATCGTACAAGTTCTGTTATACGACTATCTACATTGACAGGGTTGTGAGCACCAGGAGCCAAGAACTCTCTGTAACATAGTGACAATTAGAGTGCATGGCATCTTTAACCCTATAAATGACATAAACTGACTATAAACCCTATATCTGTTTTTGTTGTCAGCACTTCTGGTTTGTCTCTTGATATTACAGGAAGTCTTCAGTCATCAATAACGAGTGGAGAAATGTTTACAAATGGTTAAAACATCTCACCTTATACAATGTAAAATCAATTAAACAAGAAATCAAATACATTTATACACGTTTGAATCAGTGTAGAAGTCATTTCTAACAATGAAAATGTCAACCGGAGAAAAAAATCCAATTTGAAACACCAGCATGCTTTTGTAAATATCAAATGAAAGCAGTCCATCATTTAAATTAACGTTCTTTGTTTCCTGAACTTGCATATCTCAATACTGTATGGAGCGTATTTCTGACATTATCCTGATTTAGGATAACGTTAATTAAATAAATTTGAAGGAACAAGTAACTGTTATCATAATAAATTATAGTTTCAGAATTAACATAGTCCCAAGTTTTCATTATTAGACTTATAATCAGGCAATCAAATTTGCCTGCACATTATATGATGTTAACCCATATTATTCAAAATTAGATGACTTCAAAACCTTGTAACCTAACAAAATGCTAACACTGCAGTACTTTATCCTATAAAATTAAATAAAAGCCATACTTACGAGAAAATTTCATGTACTTTACAATTAACTTTCTTCATAGCTAGCCCCTTCAGGTCCCGACACGCTGTCCAGAACCTGTCAAAGTGATGGGTTAGTTACATACCACTTAGTCTTGCAATACATTTCATGTAAAGAATTCAATAATGTGAAGGAGTTGTCCATGCATATCAACAATGACCAAATTGTAAAACTATGCAAAGAGGAATTCAAATAAAAAGTTAGTGGTTGAGCAAAATGCTGAACATAACATTTTTCAAAAGACAATTAAATAAGAAAAACAAACCATGATTCTTATCGTAGATATCACCTTCCAAAATTAAAAATTAAAGAGAGTTTTGAATTGATGCACTTACTTCAAATTTTCTCCACTGAATTCTTTATCTAAAAATTTGCTAAACTGTTCTTTTCCTGCTGGGTCCCCCAATAGTTCCTCTATAGAAAACGCCCAGCGTTTTACCCTGCGTTGTGGAATATCTCGTGGATTGCTGCATTAAACAGAGTAGATAACTAAATAACACCAGTGAATCCTCCATACAGTACACATAGAAGGACTAAAACAAACACTCTCACCGGGTAAGGTCATCTACAGATTGTTATAAAACTGGACACTTTCTCCATTACTCCAAACAGAAAACATGTAGAGTCAAGGTTACTTTTGGAGAACGGGGCATAGATCATTCTATGCATTTCTTTTTCAAATTCAACTTTAGTGCTGTGGTAAAATGGCTGGTTTATAATATCACTAGCCAGTACTAGACTTTATCAAAATACCATTTATTATTTTCATTCAAAGTATTAATATTCTTCTAAATTTTTGAGGATGTGTTTGATCATGCCAACATTAATTGTAATACAAAATACTCTCTTCATTACTATTTTCCTATCAGTAACTATTAGTATGACTTTCGTTTTACAACAGAGCTATACCTTTTTTTATCCTGTTTATTTTCAAGTGAATTTCACCATGAAAACAATAACATGTATTTTTCATTTATGCATAAATATGAATCAATTCTGCAAAATATCATCAAGGCAAGATTTTAATATAGACGTTCCTCTTTCAAGGCTTACCACCTACATAACATATCAATTGTAACTACATCACCACCTACATTCATGGACAATCCATCATGTCTACCACACGTTTTCAAACCTGCCCCCTATTTCCTCTAACTAGAGGGTTACATCACTTTGCCCACACTATAACAAATTGTGTCCCGTTGCCTCACCATTCTCCAACCAGAGTCTATAACACATTGCCCAGTCTGCCCCCTATTTCCTCTAACTAGAGGGTTACGTCACTTTGCCCACACTATAACAAATTGTTTCCCGTTGCCTCACCATTCTCTAACCAGATTCTATAACCCACTTCCCAGCCTGGCCTCATCTTTCTATACCCAAAATACATAGCTCACTCAGACCCACATATGTTTACTTACACTGTTTTCTCCATTTCCCAGAAGTCTATGCAGTCAGTTACCCACGGATTGGAGGGGTCAGGACTCATTATAAAGGGGTCAAACTCAGCATATTGTTCATAGTACGCCACATAGCTAAAACAAATTTAATTGTTATACATAATATAGCCCAGCAAAAACAATGGCAGCTGATGAATCCACTTCATTTAGGTGCAAATAAAACCAAAAATTTCTTTTCACAATTTGTCATGCAAATAGCTTTCTTGTCATTAGCATTTTTTTCTTCTTTTTGTGTTTTTGTGTTGTTTATTTTTAAATTATCAGACAAGATGAAACTGTACAATACATTCTGACCTGGTTTTGTTTTCACTACCATGTGACCTTTTCCACTGATTTGGTTATACCTTTGAGCTACCAATATTTAGGTAACATGCTGGTTATCACTACTTTTGTTTGACATATCAAAATGAAATCATGAGTCAGGTGACAAAGACCAGTGTTTGTTGTTGTCACTGCTGTATCACTGCTGAAGTAAGTCAAAATATATTTAATAGATATCCATAATGAATGTTTTCTTAATTAGTAAAATGTTAAATGAACATGACATGGTTATAAATGCTTTACTATAGATAGATATAGTGACACACCACGATTCTGTGATACACAGCTATACTTACCTCTCTGTCACTTTGGATATTTTTACTCTTCTTTTCTCTAGTTTCTTTTTTAAGGAGTCGATCTACAATGAAATATAAAGACAAGTTTTGTTACGTTGTGCTATGTTTAGTAAGTCAATTTAACTTCATAATAGTCATTAATAGCTGATCACAAGTAACAAATTCAGTAAAACATGCAGAAATTAACAAGTAAATACTTGTATCCACAAATGACAACTCTTGTTAAATCAGTAATTTGACTTATTAAACAAAAAAACTACAAAGCACTGCACTTCATCATTAGGTAATAAAGGTATACAGTAACTTTCATGATCATGTGGACAGGAAATTATTTGACCTTTGACCTTGATGTTAAGGTCACAATGAGCCAATAAGATATTACACTTCATCACAGAGTAATAAAGGTATACTTTCAGTAAGAACCAGGACAACCTATAGTAATACAGTGTCTCCCTACACTCAAAGGAGAAACATCAATAAAGCCATATCTAGGACTTCAGTTGAGGTCTGGCATCTGTACTACTGAGTGCATGTGTGTAACTGTACTACTGAGGGCCTGTGTGTACGTGTACTACTGGTGCATGTGTGTAACTGTACTACTGAGGGCCTGTGTGTATGTGTACGTGTACTACTGAGTGCATGTGTATATGTGTACCACTGAGGGCCTTTGTATATGTGTACTACTGAGTGCATGTGTATATGTGTACCACTGAGAGCCTTTGTATATGCGTACTACTGAGGGCCTGTGTGTACGTGTACTACTGAGTGCATGTGTATATGTGTACCACTGAGGGCCTTTGTATATGTGTACTACTGAGGGCCTTTGTATGTGTACTACTGAGGGCATTTGTATATGTGTACTGCTGAGGGCCTGTGTCTATGTGTACTACTGAGTGTATGTGTATATGTGTACCACTGAGGGCCTTTGTATATGTGTACCACTGTATCAACGTGTACACTGATTATCTGTAGCTAAATCATCCAGTAATGGCCAATGAAATATGTGTTGAATGACATACATGTATGTACTAGCCCCATATTGTTAAGAATATCTTTCTCCTCTCTCCTGAAATTGTTCCAGAAGTACTTGACTGATTTGTGATTAGATCATTGTTTATCACTATCATTGCAAATAGTATTTTCTGCAGCTGGAACATTCCATGAATAGGTACCATAAAAACCTGATCTTGTAACCACATATCATGACTTGGGGCAAATCATATGCTCCATTTAGGAAAAGCAAACATTAATTAGTAATTTGTGGTATATATTGTAGTTGTGGGCGTAGGCTGATTCTGGAAGGGCTAAACTCAGGTGGCAGCACTATTCCAAGTTAACATGCATGACAAGGAAAAAATTATTTAATTTATTGCCTCTACAGCAATAAATATGATATCATGCTTCGCCGAGTTCCTCAAATATTGGCATGGACTGCTGCAGCTACTATCATAAATCTTGTATCAGACTGGGCTTCATTCCAATCCAAGATATAATTAACTTACTGCAATCTGATTTTTTATAAATTGATATGGATTTAAAAAGCATCTGTTTTAGGATTCACTAATAAGCTGAAAAAGATTTGTATGCAATGTGAATGGAAATAATGACTTATCAATACCACAGGCTGTACAAATCAAATTATTGATTTTTACTTAACATCCAACTTGTACTTCAAGACACATCTGATACAAACTATCAATTCTAATGTTAATGCTGTGTGCAATACACGAGACCTCTGGCATGTCCATTTTATAATAAAATGGACAGTACTTAGTTCAACACAGCAACAGATAGGATTGCACAACAATGAATGGAATTTTAACAGAAGATAGAACTTATTATAGCAGAGCAACAAATAGGATTGCACAGCAACAGATAGAATTTTATGGTTTTGATCAGGCTGATAAATAACCCTTCAGGTCAGTGACCTAAATATGGGAAAAGAGGCACAAGGAGCCTGTTCACAGCACCTAAATCATATCCTTTAAACTGATTCAGTCAGTAATGAGTTAAAGTTTCATTAAACTACAACCTCAAATTAACATCAGAAGTGGTAATAATTATCTAAGGTTGTAAAATATCAATGGTAAATTAGTTAATAGTCTAAATGTCAATTAGTAAAAGGATCTCAGACTTGCTTAATTAACCTTTCTTTCTAACCTGATTTTAAAAAGATCATTACAACGCAAAAAATTCCCTTAGTAAAGTGTTCCCTAAGTGGCTAATAGTAGAATTTTTTTCTCTATTTATAGTAATAGTGACCCTAATTATTTTCATGACTTGAAAAGCTATCTCAAGCAACTACTTTCAGTAAGAAGGCACAGTATGAAGCATGAGTTCAAGAAACCTAAAGTAAACTATAATGTTAATTTGGCTTTAGCCAATCAACAGCAATGACCAATCAATGACCAATCAATGACCAATCAAAGACCATCACATTCCTCTTGTCCTGGCCAGTCAGAGACTATGGCAAATCATAGGTCATTACATTCACCTTACCTCAGCCAATCAGATGACCTATCATAACTTCCTTAAACAACGATTTGGTATGATAGGTTGTTGAGAAACGAAATCCTGATCAATGCTGAGATTATATAGACATGGATGATACCACAGAGAAAGTTTATACAACAAGTTATATATCAGCATTATATATTTATCCAGTAATTTGTGAACGACAATGAAACAAAGCATTATTAGGGTTATGTTACAATAGAAGAACAGTCTAAAGTCCCTCTATTACTGGCCATTACCTCATGTCGTATACTTTCACAAGGGTTGTGTAGATCTGCTTCTGACACACTGGGACTAATCCGTCCTCCTGGTACAGCGTAGTTATGCTAAAATACAAATGCATATCCTTCTGTATTAGACAACTATTATTACCAACGAGGTGGAATCATCCCTACATTCAGATCAACAATAGGACTGTCAATTAATGTAATACCATGGTTTTTCAGTTAATATTCAGAAGATAGGCCTTAAATAAGCAAAACTAAGTTGGCCATTAGCCCCAGCTGTTATCAGTGCTTTGATTTACAAATGACACACAGTTTAATCAAGATAAACACACTGATGAAGGGATTTATTTGTGCATTTTCAAGAATTCAGAAATTCATATCCAAAGAGATATATTACTTAACAGACTTGGCAGATGCGTTTACTCACCCGTGTCATTTTTGAATGGCGGTTCATCCGACATGCTTTCTTTATATCAACTTCTGTTGTATTTACACAACCCGGCTGGAGAAGAAATATATCAAGATCAATTCTGAACAAATACATTCACAATAGGGTTATCAGTTTATCACCTTCAGACATACTTTTACATTGATGTAGAAAATTATCACGATTTATCATTGTTTATCTCATTAGAATTCCATACAAAATCACTCAATTACATAACCCAGACTGGATATTAATATTTGAAATTATATACCACAGGTCGATGGACATCCCAGAATGCTCTTTCTTGGCTGTCTAGAACTTTACGTTCCAATTTGTCTCGTTTCTTGTCTACCCTGTAAGATAAACAATGCATGATTGTCTCTTATGTTTTTTATATTAGTTCTGGGGTTACAGAGTTATTCATGTCCAGAAATAACACCAATGTGTCAGCAATCAGGAACACCGTATGACCATCAACCCTTGACCTTTAGCAAGCAATCTACAACACTGACATCTGTTCATTATCCAAGTACAAACCTAACTGAATTTTGTAAATGTCACTGATGTTCTTTTCTTGTCTGATTTGTGTGCATTGAATACCAGGTGTTAATGTCTGTGATCACCACATACTGTTGGTGTGACTATCAGCCCTAAATGACTACAAATAATGTTATATGATTACTGCAAGAAAAGTTTGTACAGAGAAAAACATTTAAAAAGTCAAATAAACTACCACCTAGTTACTAGGAATTTCCTTTAATGGGTTTTTAATTCACATTGTAAGCCAACAGCAGATAAAGATGTGACTAGGTCAGGCGTACTTGGCCAGCGTCCACAGAACTGTATGGGGAAACATAGACTGGACATACAGATTCAGGGACTTCAACAACATAACAGCTGTACTGAGAAACACTGACTAGATATATGAACTGGGACTAGTTCAACAAGCATACTAGTATTGCTAAAGCAATACATGTCACCTAACAATCCCGCAAGCTAATGGTTTATAAAAAAGGTGCTGTTTGGTATTAACTTGAAAAAAAATAAAAAGTAATCATTTAGTTTGTAACTGATTTTAATGTAACAATAAATGACAATACAGTTTTATGATTGATGTGTAATAATGTGTTATAGACATTTGTAAGTGTATGAGCTCTGATGAAAATCCTGGCAAAATGAAGCTCCTCGAGTTTTCTGAACACTAGTAATGGTGGTCTTGACCTTGACCTTAACCCCACTAGTTTTTTAATTTTAGTACTTTAAAAATGAAATGATTTTTCTGAAAATCCCTTATGGGGTAGAGCTGCTACAGCAGTAACAAGAAATTAAGTGACCTGACCTTTACTCCACAATCCTGAAACATCAACCTGTTTAATATATTTATGTGTTTTAAAAGCATATTTGATGAAAATCCCTGAAGGAGTGAAGCCACTAAAGTGTTGAAAATGACTTTAGTAGTAGCTGTGAACTTGACATGCACTCAATACCAGGAAACTTGATCTTGTCCCAGATGTTTTGATGCTTAATAAGTGTGTTAAGTTTGATGAAAATATCTCAAGGAATATATCTGCTAGAGAGCTGACAATGATTTTCTCAAAAAAAAAAAAAAGAAAGAAAAAAGAAAGTAGGAATGGTGACCTTGACCTTGGCCTTACAACCCTGTAACTCAAACTTGTTAAAGGATATTTTGATGCTTTATAGGTGTGTGAAGTTTGATGAGAGTTCTTTAGAGAACAAACCCATTAAAAACCACTAAAAACAGCTACATGGGAAATATAAACATTATAAGAACAGTGATTAGTTCAGAAACATATAACATAGCTGTACACAAACTATATCCTTAGATAGCTGTTAAGTATACGGGCACTAGTTAGGAAGTACATCTTATTCAAGGATTCATGACATCCTACAGAGAGAATCCCAACAGTGTTAAGGTCCAAAACTCGTGTCAATAAGCTGTGTAAACCTGTGAGTCATTTCATTGGTGATCAGATCAGTATTTCGTGACTCTAATTAATCACTATTTAACTCCGTAAGATTCATTGTAAGTCGAGAGTCTTTGATTCAGTCCTTGAATCCATCAAAGAAATGCGTGATTCAAAGCATCACTCTATAGATATTCATAATCCATGATTAAACTAGTTTTCTCCGCAGCACAAGACAATCACTTCAGGTCCTTGGATCAATATTATATCAAATATAATTTTACAAACATGTCCAGACCTGTATACATTTATATAATTTCATTCATTCACAATTCTGATAAAGTGATATTAAAGCCTAGCCTGGTTCAGGTCACATTCTACTGTCAAAACCACTTCTTCAGTCCAGTCCAACTTTTAAAAACAAGCTGGGGGTACAAGCCCTTGGGACCTGTTCCACTAGAGGTAGGTAGATAGCTGGGCTATTACTTATCTGGCCCAGCTGAGGGAAGCTAGCATCATAGATCAACTTCACTACCACACACAGCACAAACCTTAATGGATTTTATTACATATTGAAATTAAATTAAACAGCTATGGCCGCCTGTCTGAAGTCATTAGGATATTCTGCCAGTCCTGATTGTGTTTCTTGTTTTAGCATGTGTTGGAGTCGTACATCATCCTTATAGGTTTTGAGGTGTCAAAATGTGGTGTCATCATCACATACAGTGTAGAAGATCTGGCCACACAGTGCTTCAGCAATTAAATTGTGCAGTCTGTGTGCGTGACAGCTGCTCATACAACTACGTGTGTGCAGCAACTTGTTACATTTATATTTCTTGCTTCAGGTAATACATTTTTTAACACTGTGAATAAATGAATTTAATTTGATCTATTAGGTGCTAGAACCTCAAACTGTAACAACGTTACTTGGTTCTTATCACAAGGAGTTTCATGTCAAAGGAAAGTTCCATAGATACACCCTACTTTATCAGTGGTTGACCTTGTCATGGATTTCATTTGCTATACTTGGCAATGAAGTTTTTGTAAAAATGTACCAAAGAATCAAACATTATACCTTCAATGAACTTTCTGTCCTTTCCAACATACATACAGCATAAAAATCTGTGGATCTATATAGTAATAGCTTGTAAACAAAGAGACTTTGAAATTTGATGATAGAAATGTGTGTGACACTATCATTATGATATGTACAACCGCAATGAAAGTAAAATCAGAAGAGAACTGAAGAACCCAACCCTTCTACATAAACAGAACAGATATCTGTTCCTTGTATATTGATTGTTTGGTCACAAAACTGATTTCCTTTGAGGGACATGAAACGTAATAATTTGATGATTAAAATTTGATATGTAAACTGCTCTGATCTAGATCAATGCTTTTTGGTTATTTTGTGTTATTATTTGTTTTATTCACTCACTTTTATCTCATAGACAATTTCAAATAAACACAATCCTGTATGTTGATAAATTGACCCTTCTACCCAAAGTCCAGCATTACATGTACCTGAACGTTCCTGAACTGACTTACCTTTGACAGTTCATTGCTCTACACTTTGTGCCTGATGACACAGGTGTCGAGAAGAAAGGAGGTACTTTGTAATGTGTATTAGGTCTATCAAACTAATAACAAGTGAAATGTGAGATGTGTAGACTTTATTTGAACTTAGTTAAAGCCACAGCTTCACACCTAATTTACACAATATCCCAAATATTGAATGTTTCATTGTTTTACTGTCTCAGACATCCATGTTTGTTAATTTCAGTTAAAGACCACTTGGGTTTTTGACAAAGTAAAAATATACGAATCCACATTAAGTAAAATATACAAAACTATTCAACCATTAATGATCCATGAATGTCTTTTACATCAAATGTTAACAAAACAGAACCACAAGATCTCAGATAATGACAACAATTTGTCATCAAGGTATTGTACTATACTGGCTCTCTTGGAAGTGTCAAAACTTGTTACTGCCAGTGATTCACTGACTGTGTTCCTCATACGCCTAAAGACAAACTAAAGGGGCACATTATGGGCTTAAAAATAAGACAATACACACAGAATTTAACACCTCCATAGCAAAAATTGGTCTTGCTGAGAATAGACAAATTTGTTGCATACCGAGTTTTCTTAATAAAACCAAAGATGTCCTGATCAAGAAAAATATTGTTTCTAGTTTTATTACATCAGTTTTTTGCACTTTCATGCAGATCATTAGCACAAAGGGAGACAACTACAGTGACAGTCTGAATGATACAGAATATATATGTATGCAATAGTTTTACTCTTTGTCTTTCTTTTATTCTAATTTCCGCATTCAATAAGTTTGATGCCATATTTTGACAGCAAAGCAAATGTGTATAAATATGCAGGGAGAGTGCGCGACTTCATATACTGATCATTTAATATTGTTTACTTCTTTTCAGTCCGCTGTTACTTACGATCACATTTACATCATATAAAAATGAATAACGTGAATATATTCACAAAATTGAAGATAAATTTGTAAGGAACATTTACAGTCTACATTGAAAACATTGTTTCATAAACATATCTGTTTGAAGACTCTTGGATAATTTGTAGTTTTTGGGACCTGCTAAAGCTAAATTCAATAGCATTAAAAACCAATACCTAGAACAACAAAATGACAATAGGTTTTTATGTATGTATGTATGTATGTAGGTAACTTATGCTAGTTTGTGTCACAGACATATATTAATCTATATGTCCCTGTTCATGTGAATTACATATAACCTTTGCATACATGTTATGGTTGCCATCATTATGCGTCATTATATCACAATTTATGTAACATACTGCTTCTTGCATCTGTGTAAATGGAATTTTGCAGGGGAAAAATATAGATCCATATTATGGTGTAGTCCCTGGCCAGGTACACACAAACACACAAAAGAAACTGTTACCTGTGACCATTCATCTTAAATCCAGGTGCAGGTCTATGTCCATTATATGTGAAGACATTGGCAACTGTTTTGTAGACAGTGAATGTTTCTTTGAAATTGCAAAAGTTTATTATCAACTGAGTCATGGCTTTTCAATGTAAAATCAATATATTTGATGTAGAATGTAATCTTGTGCAAGGCTGACACATGTCTCTCAGAACCTGAGATCTCAGATTAAGTTAGGACAGTAACTTCAGTGAAATATTTACAAAGACAGATACTTAAATAACGAAGCCAAACTTGTAGTCCGAAGATGCAGTTTGATGTAAAATCTACCCAATTAACTTTTCCTGTGACAGCACCCCAGTGACTACTTCAGAAACAACTACATGGCAGGCAGCGGTGTTCAGACAAATAGTATACATAGTTTTAAATCACGCTGAAAATATTGTTGTACAGTTATTGTACTGTTATCGCACTCCTTTGTATTGTAGATAAACCAATCTTAGACTACTGTCAGTATTACTATCATCTTGCCTATACATGTACATGTATATATGGGCAGATACATCCATTTCACACATTCTTTTTTTTAATATTGACAGTAAAATATTAGAATAATGAAGAATCCATCCACATGATTCTGTTTAATTTCAAAAATAACTATCAATGCCGACATCGCTGACTTAAAATTTTACTTTATCTAGACTGGCATTGAAAAAAGCAACAAGGTGATTTTCACTGTCATCAATGTGTATAACCAATGATGTTTAATTTGCTACATATTTTGGAAGGCTACATTATGGGTAAGTGACATGTGTGAGATTAACACGGTAAAATGTTAAATACTCAGAATTGGGATTAATATTCCCTACATGAGGATAATAAACTTTGGTGCAGAGAAGCTGCTCTTCGTGTTAGTGGAGATCTCTGTACATGGGGAGGACTAACCACAATAGAATAGGTAAAGTAAGCATGGAGGAATTAGTGTCCCATGTCCTCAATGTTTTCACCCCATTCCTCCACGATTGCAGAGAATAGGGAGTAGTGTGGAGTCTCGCTTCATTGTTGATTGTTGGTGACCTGATAGACCTGGAGTCGCGGTGACAGGAAAAGTAACGGGCTAGTGGAGAATGGAGAACATATGCCTCCACTTGAGTCATGTGTACCCATTTTTTTGATGTTAATGATGAAGAAACTGTAGATTTCAACATGACAACATATAACACAGGTGTGAACCTGCAACTCCTATGTTATGATAGAGAACAAAAAAAGTTAAAGTTACTGGAAGTTGTGTGTGGAAGAGTTTCAGTTTTCTAGGTAACGAGTGCAATCTCAACTTCTAGTATGAAACTAAGAACAAAGAATCTCAAAACCACTTGTATAATTCTGTCTAATCTACTCTTTATATTGTGCCAGTATAAATATCATTCGAACTGGTGACATTTAGACAAAATTCATGATGATACGATGAAGTGATACTTTGATGAGTGACATCAAACTGCCTAGTACATATAGACATGTAGCTTCTTTATACCTTTACAGCCAAAAATGAACAGATTTATGTCTGTTTTAAAGACCTATACATCTCATAACATATTTTGATCACATTACCATTCCTAAGTTTTCTCAGATTAAAACCAAAAAACATTAATGTATTATAAAATCAAAAACCCATTACTTACTTTGCCTGGGCTTCAGCTTGCATAAAGATAAATTCCCATTTCCTAGAAAACATTTTCTGGAGTCTTGCCAAGTTTTCTGCCTCGTAATCTGCTAATTCTAAGCGTTGTTTGTTCTGCATTGTCCTCTTGCATAAATACACCGCTGAAACAATAACAAAAATACCATAAATACACTACTGAAACAACGATCAAAATACCATTAATACACTGCTGATACAACCACCAAAATACCATAAATACACTACTGAAACAACCACCAAAATACTATAAATACACTGCAGAAATAATCACCAAAATACCATAAATACACTGCTGATACAACCACCAAAATACCATAAATACACTGCTGAAACAACCACCAAAATACCATTAATACACTGCTGAAAGAATCACCAAAATACCATTAATACACTGCTGAAATAATCACCAAAATACCATAAATATACTGCTGAAACAACCAACCAAAATACTATAAATACACTGCTGAAAGAATCACCAAAATACCATAAATACACTACTGAAACAACCACCAAAATACCATTAATACACTGCTGAAAGAATCACCCAAATACCATAAATACACTGCTGAAACAATCACCAAAATACCATAAATATACTACTGAAACAACGATCAAAATACCATAAATACACTGCTGAAACAACCACCAAAATAACATAAATATACTGCTGAACCAACCAACCAAAATACCATAAATACACTGCTGAAACAACAACCAAAATACCATAAATATACTGCTGAAACAACCACCAAAATACCATAAATACACTGCTGAAACAACCACCAAAATACCATAAATACACTGCTGAAACAACCACCAAAATACCATTAATACACTGCTGAAAGAATCACCAAAATACCATAAATACACTGCTGAAACAACCACCAAAATACCATAAATACACTGCTGAAACAACCACCAAAATACCATTAATACACTGCTGAAACAACCACCAAAATACCATAAATACACTACTGAAACAACCACCAAAATACCATAAATACACTGCTGAAACAACCACCAAAATACCATAAATATACTGCTGAAACAACCACCAAAATACCATAAATACACTGCTGAAACAACCACCAAAATACCATAAATATACTGCTGAAACAACCACCAAAATACCATAAATACACTACTGAAACAATAACAAAAATACCATAAATACACTACTGAAACAACCACCAAAATACCATTAATACACTGCTGATACAACCACCAAAATACCATAAATACACTACTGAAACAACCACCAAAATACCATAAATATACTGCTGAAACAACCACCAAAATACCATTAATACACTGCTGATACAACCACCAAAATACCATTAATACACTGCTGAAACAACCACCAAAATACCATTAATACACTGCTGAAACAACCACCAAAATACCATAAATACACTACTGAAACAACCACCAAAATACCATAAATACACTGCTGAAACAACCACCAAAATACCATAAATACATTCCAAAATCACTAAAACAACCATGACAACGTTATCTAGGTTTTGTATACCAATGTTTGTACCTTGGTATATAAAATCTGTTGAAGTTTGGAACTATATTTCTGTGTGGGCAATTATCATAAACGTTAGATAAACATAGTTTTTAACAATAATTGTTGATGTTTTGATAGTCTGAATGTCGATAAATGCTATGAGATAACCCACTTCAAGAGAATTACCCACTCAAAGACAACTAACGACTCTGAGACAACTGCAGGTACCCGAAACCACGACAACTACCCACTCAAAGACAACTACCCACACAAAGACAACTAACTACTCTGAGACAACTGCAGGTACCCGAAACCATGACAACTACCCACTCAAAGACAACTAACGACTCTGAGACAACTGCAAATACCCATTCCAAGACAACTAACTACCTTGTGACAACTGCAGGTACCCGAAACCATGACAACTGCATGTACCCACAAGACAACTACCTACTTCAAAACAACTACACAATATTCAATGCACAGTCACAGGTCAAGTTTCTTAGAGACAAGCATAATGGACATAAACATGCACATGATTGTTACATATACAATATAAAACACAGACTAAGTAGATTAACATCATAGAGTGCACAAAAACGCAGCATTACATCTTTTCCACTTAGAATGACTTTTCTCCAAAAGTTTCTATTATAATGTGCAAAGTACTGGACTGTTAAAAATCCCTTATATATAATGTGTTTGTACCTGTACTGTATATCAATCAAAGTATGTTGTGTATTTCATATCAGCCAATATTATATCATTGCATGTAGTGCGCATAAAGAAATAAATATAAAATTATATGTAACATGTATTAAAAAAATGTAATAATACTGTATGTTGTACATATCAATAAATGTAACTAATGGAGCACCTCGGTTGTTTACCTGATGTCAGTGTTCCAGTATTTAGTGGGAATTCTGAATGTGCAGTTTGTTGTATTATGGTTGTAAAAGCCAGTGGTTTTCTATAGTACGCTAGTAAGTAGAAAAGTCTTGACAAGGCTGGTAAGCTCCTTTTATTCTTTTTCCCCAAGTCTTATGGTAGTAATTACCGTATTTATTCTAATAAACACCCCGGAGGCATGCAATTTTCCAAGGAGGGGGCGTTTAATAGAACACAAAATTTCAGACTCGGAAGGTTGTTAGGTGTAAATATAAGGATATAAACAGAGTCTATAGCCATCATGTCTGTATAATGCTTCAATCATTGTTAAGCAAATTAACAAATGTTTTGGCATTGATGTAAGAAACTGCACTAGCATAAATATTGTTGTCATTTGTACTCATGGTGACCTGTAGTTGTGTATGAAATGACAATTAGACAGAGCGTCTCAACTTCTGTTAAGAGATGTAGTAATAAGGTCATGACCTTGTGTTCTCATTACTTGTATGTCATTATATAATATTAAAATAATATCAATCTATAGCTATTCCAATCCCAATTTGTCATTACACCATAAATAAGATATTTCTTTTAAACTTAAAGTTATCGCATATGCGCAAGAAAAGGGAAAACATGTCGTGGCTAATGTGTTCCGTGTAGACAGAAAATGAGTACGGGACTGGTGTCAGCACAAACATAAATTTTTAAATCAAGGAGGTGAAAGGCCTGTTCGACATGGTAATATTAATAAAAACTTGATGAAATAGCAGACTGACAGACGCGAAACCAGTATCCAGGTGATTTTTACGCTTTGAGGCCCTACATATGCATAAGGCAAATGGATTTTCCTGTTTCATAATCATATGTATATGTGTGGATATTTGTGATCTTAGTTGGGGAAAATCACTGAGAAAAGGGGTAGAGGGTGTTTATTAGAATAAATGCAGTATGTAGAGTTATGTAGGGACTTATTGCTTCTTTGTCATTTTATAGTTAAAGTCACAGTTGGGTATATAGAGTAGAATATAGAGAGTTGCAATGTAGAGTTAGGAACAGTATTTCTAAATAAGTAGGGATATGAAATTAGTATTTAAGGCATGTATATTCAAAGTTACGAGTTTTTCATCTATATTTTTGATAGGGGTCAGGCCTTCAAATTATGTATATGGTGTATGAGAGAGTATGAGTATCTGTAGTGTTTAGAATAGTATCTCTGGTAAGAGTTTACACAGGTAACAACACAGGTAAATGCATGGAACAGACTATCATTGGTTAGCTATCGTTGCCATAAAAGAACATTTTCCTTTGCCTTACAAAAGGACGGCTAATTGGGACCTCCCAATACATGTTGATTGATTGATTGACAAGTTTTCCATCTTTGTGACTCTTCCAGTGCCCGGGTATTGCCTCACTGACAAACGTGCCATAATAAAATACAAAACATGGTCAGTGTCTTAAATATCATCTGTACTTTAGCGAGGGTGACAAAAGATGAAAATTGAAAGTCACTTTTTTCTTTTTGCCTCAAGTCAACAACAACTTTTATGACACTAATACAATGAAGTCGCCATTCATCTGTTCAAAGGATTAAGAATCTGTTCCTTACCATAATCTGTATTTTCTGGTTCCCCACATCTTGATGGCCAAAAACATGGTGTCTGAAAAGAGAATTGTGTATGCAAGTACAGAAATATGAATATATATGTAAAGTTACATTGTAGCTGTAAAGAATCTGAATTAGTACAAATAAAAACCTACCTTTTAGCTATACACAAGAGATAATCTTCTATCAAACACCACTTCTTAATACAATATGGTGTAGTAGAAGTTGCTAGTACAAGTTAGCTTGTGGAAATTTCCATTTAGTTGAGTGTTTGGCTAGAGACCAATGGGTCACTAGTTCAAACCCCAGCGAGGCAGGGTGTTTTTCATTACTTCTTCCTATAAAATATATTATGGATTTGGTGTACCTCTTCTGGTTGTTTTTTTTTTCATTTTTTTTTTCATTTTCAAGTATATCACAGCTTCCAAAGTCATACTTCTTCCCCCCTGAAACTTTAGTTATAGTTATAAATGAAACATAGAAGAGGTGAAGAAGTCAACATAATACCATGAATCCCTAAATTTTGCTGTTTTAGAGTCGACCTTGTTCTACTTTTTCTGTTTTTGCTGCATGACAGTGTTTTTTTGTTCTGTTCTTTCTAATATGTCTTTTTTACTGTTCCATCCTAGGTTATCATGCCAATACAAAGAAGAGCATATTATAGCCAGTGAAATGTAATGCCGGACAGATTGCTATCACAGGTCAATACACTAAGGTCTGATGAGTGTAGAGAGACACATAAGGATAGGCTAGACAGTAAGGTCTGTGTACTCTTTGCCCATATATAGACTGATATTGACTAATAGCTCCTGCAAAACAGTTGCTTATGTATGCTTACTGATGTACTTATCTCAGATGACCTTCAACACTGATACAATGTTGTCCTGAATCATTTCAATTCTATAGATATGAATAAAAAATTGTTTTTGTGAACAAAAAAATTTAGGTCTCCCTCTGTCCATATCCTTAAGTCAAGTAACTTGTCACTCAATTAAGATAAACTCTGATTAAGAAAGTTACAACGAAATATAAACCAGTAAAAAATTGAAAAATTGACTTTGATCTTGACCTCTGAAATGATGACACTGACATGTAATAATGTGACTTTCAAGTTTTATCAATATATCTCCAAAAGTATAAAAAAAACAAGAAGATATATTTTTTTACCCGTGACTTAGATGCGGAGATCAAAGTGACCTTTAATCAAGATATCTCTAATAGTTAAAAAAGGTTATTGCCTGAACAAGAATATACAGAAAGTTTTACTCTCATTTGACCTTTGACATTGCTGGAAAGTCAGTGACCTTATCTTAATTCAATGCACACCACTTGTAAGTGATGCAGATAAGTTAATAGTTTATCAAAATGTCTTTATCAGCTTAAAGTTACAACATGGCAAAGATTGCATTAGATAAATAAGAATTTGCACTAGCACATGTTGTCATTGGATGGGGCAACATAACAAAGTCAAAAATGGTGAATATGATAAACAAGAAATCCATGGCTCTTAACAGTCATCTGACAATCAATGAATGGATGGACACACCACAGAATTCACTGATAGCTGTCTGACAAATCTGATGAATTAAAATTTCAAACATTCCTTGAAAGTATCAGAAACCCCTAAATGGTAAGTTCTGTTCATGATAAACAATTGCACAATCATATAACAAAATGGTTACTGTAGTTACCGTGTTGAGGTTTTGATCAGGCTGAAAAATAACTACAAATCATCTCTTTCTTTTCCTTCAAAAATCAAACTCCAAATATATTTTTCTCATTGGTGTGAATGAAACTTAAGAAGAAGTACAAACTATTTGTTCTAGATGACAATCTCCGGTTCATGTCTGATATCAGTGCCACTCCCTAATAATCTTTCAGGTCAAATTAAGGTGAAATCTACACAGGCATTAAGAAGGAGTAGCATTTTGAAGCAAAATATTTTTGAGTCCTGCCCCTAAGTCCCTCAGGGTCAAATCAACTTTCTGAATTTAAAAAATGATTGTCCATTCTCAATGATGTTTTGTACCACACTTGGTTTAAATCCATTTTAGCCTTTAGGAAACATAGTGCATTGAAGCAAAATTATTGAGTAATTTTCCCATTTGGGACCCTGCTCCAAGGTCTCTAAGGATCAAATCAACTTTCTGAATTACGAAATGATAACCTGCCTGCGATGATACAAATTTCCCTTTTTGGGGTTCAGTCCCCAAGTTCCCAGGAAGAAAAGTGTTCAGAATCAAAGTATTGTCCAACTAACCTTTTGGGGCCTTGCACCGAAGTCCTTGGCAACATATTGACTAACTTTCCCATGTGGGGCCACGCCTATCCCAATGTCCGTAGGGGTAAAAGCAACTCTCTAAATTTAAGAAATGATTCTCCACACTCAATGATGTTTCAGACCAAATTTGGTTGAAATCCATTCAAGCATTAAGAAAGAATAGCATTTTGAAGCACAGTATTGTCAAATTTCCCCATTTTGAGCCCCAGCATCCCAAGGTCCATAAGGGTCAAATCAACTTTCTAAATCTGAGAAATGATAACCCATCTGCAATAAAGTTTCAAACCCAATTTAGATGATGTCTACAAAAGCATTAAGAAGGAGTATGGTCTTGAAGCAAAATATTGTCTAATTTCCCCTTTTGGAGCCCAAATTCCAAGTCCCTTCCGGTCGAATCAAATTTCTGAATTCAAGAAATAATTGCTAACTCTGATGAATCTGGCCAAAGCTGGCAAAAAGGTAGGAGTAGGGTTTTAAAGCCAATTTCAGCACCTCCCTCTTTGTGGCCCCATCCCTTGACCCCAGGAGTTGAATTGAAATTCTGAATTTAATATAAAGATAACCATCACCCAGTGATGTATCAGACCAATAAGGGTGAAATCCACCAAGGTATAAAAGAGGAGTAGGGTTTTAAAGAAAAAGTTTGAGCATAATGCATGGCACATAGTGCACGACGATGGATGCAGCACAATAGTTATAGGTCATCTTGACCTTCAGATCAATGACCTAAAAATATATTGATCACTTATAGCAATATAGCTTCATTGAAAGCATTTTCAAATATGTGAAGAAAGCAATTTTTTATTCAACACAGGAAAGCATATTTTTTAATGCTTAAGATTATAAATTCTGATGAAGTGACCATACAAACAGTGGCTGTCAAAATGGCAATACTAAATTCACTATGATGATTGTGGAGAATAAGAGATGATGCAACTTAAATGTGCCTATAGAATATGGTGCCAAGCTACTGATCCTACAATTTCCTGCTGCAGAAAGCTTTCAGTTATCACCGTAACTTTGAAACCATAAAAAAAAATAATGAAATAACTTTCCTTGACTATAAAAATATCCATATTTCACAGCTATCTACAATATCCTGTACATCAGACATCAATTATCTTAATAAAACTGATGTCTGAACCACCAAGCACCTGACATGTACCTTCTAGGTCCATCTGTACTCCAGTATCTAAACACACTAGGACACCACCCATCTAGGCCCATCTGTACACATGTATCCAACACACTAGACACCGCCCATCTAGGCCCATCTGTACACATGTATCCCACACACTAGACACCACCCATCTAGGTCCATCTGTACTCCAGTATCTAAACACACTAGGACACCACCCATCTAGGTCCATCTGTACACATGTATATAAACACACTAGACACCAACCAACTAGGCCCATCTGTACTCAAATATCTAAACACACTAGACACCACTCATTTAGGTCCATCTGTACTCCAGTATCTAAACACACTAGGACACCACCCATCTAGGCCCATCTGTACACATGTATATAAACACACTAGACACCAACCAACTAGGCCCATCTGTACTCAAATATCTAAACACACTAGACACCACTCATTTAGGTCCATCTGTACTCCAGTATCTAAACACACTAGGACACCACCCATCTAGGCCCATCTGTACACATGTATATAAAAACACAAGACACCAACAAACTAGGCCCATATGTACACAAATATCTAAACACACTAGACACCACTCATTTAGGTCCATCTGTACTCCAGTATCTAAACACACTAGGACACCACCCATCTAGGCCCATCTGTACACATGTATCCCACACACTAGACACCACCCATCTAGGTCCATCTGTACACATGTATCTAAACACACTAGACACCACCCATCTAGGCCCATCTGTACACATGTATCCCACACACTAGACACCACCCATCTAGGTCCATCTGTACTCAAGTATCTAAACACACTAGACACCACCCATCTAGGCCCATCTGTACACATGTATCCCACACACTAGACACCACTCATTTAGGTCCATCTGTACACATGTATCCCACACACTAGACACCACCCATCTAGGTCCATCTGTACACATGTATCCCACACACTAGACACCACCCATCTAGGTCCATCTGTACACATGTATCTAAACACACTAGACACCAACCATCTAGGTCCATCCACACACACATGTATCCACACACACTACACCAATCATGTTGGTCCAGTGATAAATGTCTCCTTACACACCAGACACATACATCCACACATATCAGACATCAATATTCAACACACATTCAACACTTATGGTCTTTGTCCTATGATACATATGTATCGCAGACTGTAGCTAATAAAGACAGACATCATCCCCTACACCAAATTAGGCACTTATACAATTAGAGGGTAGATTGAGCGAAATAATTACTGAGGTAATGGGATTACAGTCCTGGAGATCCTGACCATACAATCCAATGACAGGATGCTTTGATTACATCTCTGGCAAACTTGATCACAAACTTGTCCAATGTTTTTCTTGTGAAGCCCTCATCAGGGCTATCCCCACATATAACATCACACTATTCTTTTTCTACAAACCTCCAGGAGATTAAAGAAGTCCTAATTTGATTGTTACCCTGATTTCAACAATATCTACACCCGACTTGACTTAACTGTCTAGAAAGGAGTGTGAAACTTATTAGAGGAATCCCAGAACTATTGACTTATGACCTGAAATATATACAGTAGGAATTCAACATTAATTTTCAAACCTGAAATCTGTAGTATGTGTTGTCATTTTTGACTATCAATTCATGGTCGTCTATGGGGAAGAAGTAACCGTGGGAAGCCATCAGTGTCGCCAAGTGTGTCGCCTCAGCTGAAACACAAGAGACCTCTTTATTTTAAAAAATCACTTTTTCATTCAGACACACCCTGATAGTACAAATATAAATGTTCCGTTATTGTATTAGATACCTCTGTATAAAGACAAATGTGATAAGTAGACATATGTGTCAGTATGTTGACCTATTCACATGACCTTGGACCAGTTACAGCACAGTAACACTGTAAAGACTAGATATATATGTCAGTATGTTGACCTGTTCACATGACCTTGGACCAGTTACAGCAGTCTCATTGTGAAGACTAGATATATGTGACAGTATGTTGACCTATTCACATGACCTTGGACCAGTTACAGCACAGTAACACTGTGAAGACCCTGTAAGATGTGTCCATGTGTTGGTGGCTATAGCATGGTAAAGCAATGATTCGCTGAAAATCAATGTGCCAACCTAGCTCAGGCTCATATTGAGGTGCCCTGTACACTCTGCATATGCATGAAAGATATAACGCTTGGTGTGTCGAAATGACAGCTCTCTTAAATGTTATACAACAGGAAGAAATCTTTATGGTTCTATCGAGTATATTTTCTAGTTGTGTAGGCTGTGTTATAATTCTTCTTTTTTTGACAGTACAGTTTTAAATACACTTGACAGTTTATAGACAGTAAAATAACATTAATTAATACATATTGTACAACATGATTACAAATTTCATACAAATTTAAATGTAAAAACATTTGATAATTGTTGTCTTAAATGAACAAAATGTTTACATACATCAAATGGTTGTACCATTTATAGAACTATGAAAGTCAGAGCCATATTGTGCCGTTGGATTCCACCGAGCCTAATTAACAGATGGCTTTTTTATTTTTTTATGGTTCATAGGTAATTCCATACTGTCATTAAAAAACTACCCTATGATAAAACCAAAATATAAAAACCTGGAAATATAGTTTTTGTATTGGCACTTGACTGCTTACAGATAGCATCTCCAGTAAATATGAAATCTATCAGAAAATGACAAGGCAGCCCTTCATGGAATTTGGTGTTTTCCGGCTTGTGTTTTATGTACAGGCAGTAGTAATATGTTCAAGTCATACCAGACAAAAATCCATATTGTGGAGGAGGCACAACCATCATTCTGCTACCTCATTTATTTATTCCTGGTTTCTTAAACAAAACATTCTTGAGGTTTTTGCAATTGCTTTGTTCTGTTTGTCTGTTTACTTTTGGAATCTCATTTTCAATTATTTTATGGCATCATACGTCTAAAATTATAGTATTTTACATTAGAATTTAGATAAATGAGCTCAAGTTGTTAAAGACAAGATTTTTTTCATCCTCTACAATCTGGTTGAGAACAGATTCAGCAGCATCTAGATCTATTGTAGTACCTATAATATGATAAAAGTGCTAGCAGCATATATCCCAGTCACGTTACTAAAACCAATGGCAATCTATTGGAAAACAATCAAACATCACATGATGTAATCTTCTATATATGCAAAAAGGTATATATAGATATAATCAATACACAAGGTCATCCCAAGTATAAATCTATCCTCAATAACAAACTTGACAAATTAATTATCTTGACCTTGACACAGTGTTTACTGTTGCTATGGACTTACTTCCCCTTGCCAGAGACAAAATTCCTTATTTACTTAAAACATTTTTCTACACAATTTGCACTTGATGAGGATGAGCACAATTGCAGACACTTTGTGGGAGTAGCTATTTGAATATAAGCTCTGCCAAACTTCACTTTCTAGACACACTGGCTTGGATCCTATCAGTTCAGTGTATTCCTTGATTATAACACTACAGAAACTCATCCCAGTCTGATCCCTTCAAATTTCTAAAGCTCTTTCGTTCCCACATCATTGGTGCCATTTTAACAAGCTCAAGTGACTTGTATTGACATACGATAGGAGCTGTTGTCCTGTCACAGTCATTACTCAGTGTTAAGATGTAAGACGCCAGGTCATTTAGCCTATCAAATAGCGATATCTGAAGGGTTGGACATGTCTGCGCACATGATTGGAATTTTATTTGCAAATCAGTTTACAATTCCAAATAAGGTAAGTAAAGATACATCATTTTTCATTCCGTCATCAATTATAAATTGATGTTTCCCAACTTGACAAGTTAATGACAAAATTTAAGCTGTGGCTCCTACAATTTTTATTTGTTTTCTGGTCAAAATGACTTTGTAATATAGATTCATGAACTTATTAGCATGATGCAACCAGGAATGACAAGGAATTTTTGTATCAACTGGTTTATACTGAGCCTTGGTTCATTTGATATGACTTTTTAATTGGTAACAACAGTAAATTAGGCACTACCTGAAGTTTTTAACAGTAAACATGTGACCTTTATTTTGGTCAACATACGTCACACATTGCCTGAACTTTTAATTTACTTGGTGTGAATCAGATTGTAACAGTAAACATCTGACCTTGATATTTGAGTTATATTTAAGTTTTAACTCTTTTGAGGTTGGGATGTATTATACATAATTGGAAGAAAATCAATTTTGAATTCTGTAATAAACTTTTTCTGGATCTGTTTTAAATAATGAATGATATCAATAAACTCCTGCAGTGGGATCAAAACTTGAAAATTCAGGACGAAAATAAATGTCAGTCTTGAAATGGGAAATCATTAATGTTGTAACTTCAGCAAAAATTATTAAAATCCTCTTGTGCTGTAATTACACTGAATCAAGGTCAGACCCAAGGGAATATGCAGTTCATAAAATAACAAAGTTGCATCAATGGATTTTAACACTTGTATCAAAACTTTATTACTGACATTATCACGATTAGTCAAACACAAACATTATTGTGGACTTCAAAATGTGTTTGGACTGTAATAACATTGGATCCTAGAGGGATGTTAAGTATGTAAAACACAAACATTCTAGTTATAGTAACATTTCAACCAATGCCTACAAGAACACCTACTCAAATGTCAGTGCATTAAATCCTACGTAGTTAAAAATAAAAGTGACAGATTTGAAAAGGAATGTGTTATCTTAATCCTCAGTTTTTCTTTTCTGTTTCTTAATGTTCACAGAACAAGGTTCTGCCATATCAAGTAGTATGTGTCAAAGTTTTGATCGTTAATCTGCCAGTTAAATAGAGGTACGAGTTAACACCCAAAGCATTGGCAGGTAACAGCTGCAGCAGCCATGAAATAGCACTGTCACATTTAGGCAGTCCAAAGTACACATCATTACACAAATTGAACTATTTCTGTGCAGATGTGTAAGGTATTTTTGCGCCCGCCTTTATACCAACGCCTTATTCTTGGCAGCATTTATGCAGAAAACAGACAGTAAATTGTGAGTGTGTAAAGATGATAGCCTTAAGTCTGGAAATCATTTCCCTCCTGAGGCCTTACCTTGATCCTCCACGTCCACATTCTTCATAATCCAGGCTATCAGATCCACACCTAAGGGAAAAAAAGAAACGAAATGACCATAAAACTGTGTGAGCAGTTAAACACTCTTTTGGAACATGTCAGTTGTAGTAACCGACATTATAATGAGACAGAAGACCCGGTACTATAGGAGTACTTAAATCAGGAATCATAAAACTTCCTCCTTCCTTAACTGGAAAACAAAAAGGAATCTACATCAGATTTACTGTAGAGAAGCAGAGAAGCTACTCATTGGGAGCATTTTTACTGTCTGTCATCTCTTGTCAGATTAGGTTTGCATTAGATCTTCAATACTACTTTAGAAAATTAATTAAAATTTTGGGCCAAAATGGTTAACTGAATGGCTAGGCAGAAGTAACATCCCTTCCACTCCTTAAGCCTTGACATATTGAATGTTCATTAGCATAGACATATTGAATGTTCATTAGCCTAGACATAGTGAATGGTCATTGAGTTAAAGACAAGTTTATTCAACAACAGATCCAGTATACATATATATTTGTCCAGTTCATCCCTGTCTCCTTTACAAGTCATTGGTTTATTTGTGAATCCACCCCATATGCAAAACATATAACATATAAGGAATATGACTGTCCTCTATAGCCTCAATAAAGAACAGTTCCATGTTTCCATCTCATCTATAGCCTCATTACAGAACTGATATTACTCTCTCATCTATAGCCTTATTACAGAACAGATACTACTATCTCATCTACAGTCTCATTATAGAACAGATACTACTATCTCATCTACATTCTCATTATAGAACAGATACTACTATCTCATCTACAGTCTCATTATAGAACTGATACTACTATCTCATCTACAGTCACATTATAGAACAGATACTACTATCTCATCTACAGTCACATTATAGAACAGATACTACTATCTCATCTACAGTCACATTATAGAACAGATACTACTATCTCATCTGCAGTCTCATTATAGAACAGATACTACTATCTCATCTACAGTCACATTATAGAACAGATACTACTATCTCATCTACAGTCTCATTATAGAACAGATACTACTATCTCATCTATAGCCTCATTATAGAACAGATACTACTATCTCATCTCCAGTCTCATTATAGAACAGATACTATCTCATCTACAGTCTCATTATAGAACAAATACTATTATCTCATCTATAGCCTCATTATAGAACAGATACTACTATCTCATCTATAGCCTCATTATAGAACAGATACTACTATCTCATCTCCAGTCTCATTAAAGAACAGTTCCATGCTCCTTCCTCTAGAGCCTCATTAAAGAACAGTTTCATGCTCCAACCTCCTCTTTACCCTCTTTAGCTAACAGATAAATGCTCTTGTCCCTCTATACCCTCATTACAGGACATATATATGCTTCTGCCTCTTCCACATCCTCACTTCAGATACGATACAAGCCCCTATCCTTTTCTTTACCCTCACTCAACTATGTACTATTTCTATTACATAATGATGTACCTTCCTCAGGATGTTGGCTCCAACAATCACTAAGGATGACACACTTCACATGCAAGTGTTTCATTTCAGTCTATATTGATAAGTGTACATGTGAATTTCTGTTCAGATTATTGTCTGCACTCCTTAGCTGACCATTATGTCTAAGATACTGATCGTTACACGTCTCAGTAAAGAACACTGACCACTTAACGTACGTAAATGTACTGATCATTATGTCAGCAGACTACGAAGGACCAATAATCACATGAACAGATTCCTATTAAGGCTATAATAGAGAGTATGCAGCTGGAGCTAGATGATATTAATAGCTGTTGAGCCAATCTTGGTTCAACATTAACAGCCCAATTATGACTAGTGTCCTGAACAAGGACACACTTCTTACCATATTGATTCCCATCAGAGCCGATATTGCATGTTCAGAACCACCAACAAGTTTTACAATGAACCCTTTTTCCCATACAATTTTACCATGAACCTATTTCTCATATACTAAACATCTCTAACAGAACAGGACATTCGAATTTTGGACTCGTAGCAGTTTTACAATGAACCTATTTCTCATATACTACACATCTCTAACAAAACAGGTCACCTGAATGTTGGACTCATAGCAGTTTTACAATGAACCTATTTCCCATACAACTGCATGTTCAGAACCACCAGCAAGTTTTAATATGAACCTATTTCCCACACAATTGCATGTTCAGAACCACCAACAAGTTTAACAATGAATCCTTTTTCCAGTACAGTTTTACCATGAACCTATTTCTCATATACTACATATCTCTAACAAGACAGGTCACCTGATTGTTTGACTCATAGCAGTTTGTAAATCTTTGTACATCAAACAAATTCTCAAACTGGTACACTCTACAGTCTCAAGGATATAACAGCATTTTTCAGAATTTCATCTAAAACATGTCAAAATTGCTGACATGGCAATCATGTAATAATGATGCTGATTGTACAGAAAATTGTTAGAAAACACTGCCAAGACTATCAATGTTTATTTTCTTGAATGTCACAATATCCAGGAATAAGGGATGTCACTGATAGACTTTAATCACATTTCTCTTCCTCAAGTTCCATATAACCAGGTGAGAGAGACATGTGTTGTTCGGGAAGATGTAAACGTTTGTCAGTTGTATTACTGCGAAGCATCTGTGTTTATGCAGTGTTGTATGCAGTACCCTGCGGTGGGAATAGTATTAAATGCTGCCTTCCTGTGCTAATGTAAACACAGCCAGGTGTTTTCTGGCCATCTTCTACAACATGTCTATCTGCCTAACAGATGATCCTAAACCTGACAAGGAAGCAAACCCAAGGTCATTCAAGGTCAACAAAATTAGAGTACAACAAAGATGCATGACATATCTATCTGTTATAGAAATTGTTGTACATCCTTTACTTGTCAGCCAATGTCTCTGTTATATCTCTATCCTGACTAATCTACAGGCATGTTTAAAGCATCGCTATGGCAAGGCTATGTCATGAATGACAACATCAATGCAATCACAAATAATTTGATTGACAATATGATAGTATATTGGGAGAAAAACCTCAGAAATAGCAACCCCTCTTGGATTTTATGTATACATTAAATGACGGTATATATTGTCAGTTTACACACGTTATTCTAACTATCAGTAAAGAAGATAATGGCTTGTGATCAGCAAGACAGAAAACAACAAAGACTTGGGATAAGTGAGAAGGCAGAAATTGACCTGTGACACAGGAAAGAAAGGAAAAAAGTTTGAGGGAACAAGGAAGAATATAACAGAGTCAACGAAAACAACAGAGATGATACATAAACAAAAAAGTGACAAGGAGAAAGGTAAGGATATAGGGAAGAAAGGAATCAGAGAGACAAATAAAAATGGGCAGGAAGGAAAAGAAAACAGAAAGATGATAAGAAGAAGAAAAGAGAAAAAACAAATGATACAAGGAAAAAACAGTGGCAGACAGTCAAGAATGGAAAAAATTTGACAAAGGAAACAGAGAAGCATGGAAAAGAGACGAAGAAAGTTAGACAAAGGGGAAATAATGCAAAGAAAAGGAATAGAGGAAACATGGAAGAAATAAAATTAATGAACTAGCATAATATGAAGGGAAGGAGAAAAAACCAAGGAGACAAGGATCGAGTATGAAGAGACAAGCCAACAGCTTGAAAATGGAAAACATAAAAAGAGGCAAAACATGGCCACTGAGATGGGGAAGAAACAAGAGGCAGATCTAGAGCTGGAAACAATCAGATCAGAAACAAGGAGACAAGTATTTTTATAGCTATGATAGGAATGCAGTGTATCAAATATACATATAGGTACATAATCATATAACTAGACCTAAAACAAGCCAGTTTCATCTCACATCAGTTTGGCTCTTCTTAATAATTACATAAAGAAACTGCTATCCAATGGTTTTTAACCTGCTTTTATTGGCATAGGGGTACATGCAATTGGCAAAGTTTGAAAGTTAATGTTTACGCTAATCAAATTATGTAACAAAGCTGCCTTCAGTTTGGAACAAATTGTGCCAATTCCAGCTATACATCAACAGTCAGATGACCTTTATATAAATACTGCCCTTATTCTACCCATACATTGCCTAGTGTGATGAAAGATCTGACATTATATAACCATTGTAACACACAGTCATTTGAAACAGTCAAAAGATCTGTATCAGGTCCCTTATTTTGGTGACTTCTTTCATAAGTCAATAGTTTAGTAGCAGTGTTAGAAATTAAAATATCACATTCAATACAAAAGTATGAAATCATTCCTAAGTATTCCTGTTTTCTGGGTGCGCTCAATAACAGGCTTATTGTCAAGCAGACATTATAAGATCATTGTAAAGGATAATGTGCAATTCCACAGAGTTGTGTATTAAAACAGAAAATGGCATTTAGCTAATGTGATATTTTACCAGGCTGTTACCATCAACTGAATGCTACTTTAAACCAGCAAGATGAAAAAAGACACTGCTGACATCTCTAAATGTCAAAACTCTGTTGCATAGTGTCAACATATCAGTACTAGAATTCAGTTGGTATTCAACATGGAATAAATTTCACTCATATAATGTAAAAAAGAAAACAAGAGGCCAATAAGGCATGTATCGCTCACCTGCTTAAGTTTGCTGAAAACGATTAATTCTAGCTAAAGGAAAAGTATTTAAAACAGTTGTATCTATTTCCCTATAAAAGGCTCACCCCTCCTTCCAAAGGGGCTTAGATATGTTGTTTGTACAAAACTAAGTTCTCTTCAGCAAAGATGTCTTTAATTACTCTTTATTTCCACTATGTGGCCCTCCAGCCAGAACCCATTGTTGATACAAAATTGATCCATTCACCCAGGATGTTTCAAACAGAATCAGAAGAAAATCCAGATATTCCTACATAAGAAGAATGATTTTAAATAATTTTTCCTTTTTCCCCTATGAGGCCCCATCCTTCCCAACCTAGGGGGCTGAGATCTATTGTTTTATGTAAACTAATATCCTTTCACCCAAGCATGCTTCAGACTAAATTTGGGAAATATCCTAGAAATCCTCAAGAACAAAATACACTTTGAAGAAATTGATAGATTTTCCCCAGTGGGCTCTATCCCTCCTTCCTCATGAGGCTTAGATCTACTGTTTATACAAAACTGATTTCATCCAAGCATGCTTCAAACCAAATTTAGACAATATCCTGCAATTTCTCAAGAACAAGACAAATTTTAAATAATTTGTAGATTTTCCCAACTGGGCCTACTCCTAAAGCCCTGGGGTGCCCAGACCCATTGTTTATATAAAATGTTTTCCCATCCCCTCAAGGATGCTTCAGACCAAATTTGGTTAAAATCTGCTCAGTTGTTCATAACTAGTTTGGATTTATAGGAGAAGTTGACAGACAACTGACACTACAGTATTCCTATAGCTTACTCAGCCTTTTGGCCTAGGTGAGCTAAAAAAATATTTACTATGCAGTAACATTGTAAAGTAGATCTTGTTTTTTTTAAATTAACCAGAGACATGCTACATGTGTGGGTAAGTGTGAATTGTCTCGGACTGGTAAAACGATCTGCCAAATCTCTGATTCATCCCCAGAGGTCTAATCTACCAACACTGATCAGAATGAGAGGCAAGCTACAAAGAAAGTCATGTTCTGAAAGGAATTTCGTGTACAGCATTCCAGTTGCAAGATTTGAGACTTCAAACATAGATAATTTGATACAACCTCTGCATCATGGCAAAAATATTAATAAAAACTATTAAAGTATCCCCAACACGAACCCATCAGTTGTGCTGAAACATTTGATACAGAGGGGAATATAATAATATATATGTTTAACATTTGCAGCAGTTGTTGTACTATTACATTATATGTAGATACTCTGAAAACTCATTAGTCCAGAAAAAACTCCACAGTTTACTCAGCTATTTTAAACAAGGATTTTCCCAATTAGTGAGATAGCATTTTTCAATTGATCAAAAATCAATAAAAAAGCAGGTTTCTGGTACTTTTCAGGTTTAGAACTGCATAATGGTACCTATCTTTATTTCTATTCTCGGATCAATAACAATAATCATTTTATCTACCTCTACAAGGGAATGTTTTCTTCAATATCAAAATCTCATATATCCAGTAATAACTTATGTTTTTAGAAAAAAAAAAGACTATATGAAAACAGTGGAATATTATCCTCCAACCAACACTAGGTAACAACATTAGGCTTACCTGTGAACACACTTGGTACTTTGGACATGAAGCTTTTGACTGTCCGGACGGGTACACCTGTGCTTTCATCCTGCATCCGGTCAACAATGGACTCCATCTGTAAAATAAAAGAGTGAAAAAATAATAAAACATATCAGAAATACTTGTGACACCACCAGAAAAAGTATGGACACAGTACCATATATGGCATGCCAATAAATTTCCAGCTGAAATGTAGAAATTTGCATCAGGTAAAATATAAAAAGTATTAGTACAGAACTGATAAATACCCAAGTGAGGGTTGACATCACTGAGACATGAGAGGACATATGATACCAGACCAGGGTTTCTGGCCAGGGGATAATGTAGCCATCTCAGGCACCGATTCCAGTACATTTCTCTTCCCTTTTTGAGATATTTTGACACCTTCATTGACTAAACAATAAGATAATACTAGAAAATTAACAACTTGCATTTTTATATACAGAAATGAAATTAAAACAACTAAAATAAAAAAAAAATTAATGAAAGAAATTCCAATATTAATAACACTGCAATGTCAAATTAGCAAAACAATGAAAGAAATCCAGTGTTAATAACATTGCAATTATATTAATTCAGAGAATCATTCCCATCAACAAACATCATCAACACAGGACCCCAATCTGCACTTTGTAGATTAAACAGCTCTCACTGAAGGAAATAAGGCCATGTTACATTGTATTTCATAGGTCATCATAGAAAGTTCAAGAGTTCATGTTTTGACTACAGAAGCACCTCATCAATCAGCTGACATTTGAATTTAGTTTATTTGGAAAGTTTATACAGTGACCCACATCAGATGTGACTTGCAGGTAAATCAGGTACAATACCATAAATATTTCATTCTGATCCTCCCAACAGAATACATTATTTGCATTTTTACTAAAATGAAAACTGAGTTTGCCTAACAATTTTTTCAATATCCTTTAAAATTGGACTATGTATGTGCAGTGTCTTCAAAAGCAATTATGTTATACATTGGCCTATAAGCCAATTGATGGTCTAGTAGCTGTGAAGTACATTGGCCTATAAGCCTGTGAGTGGCCTGGCAGATGTAGAGAACATAGGCCTATAAGCCTGCTGGTGGTCTAGTAGCTGTGAAGTACATCGGCCTATAAGCCTGTTGGTGAACTTGTAGCTGTGAAGTACATTGGCCTATAAGCCTGCTGGTGGTCTAGTAGCTGTGAAGTACATTTGCATATAAGCCTGTGGGTGGTCTGGCAGATGTAGAGAACATTGGCCTATAAGCCTGTTGGTGGTCTATTAGCTGTGAAGTACATCGGCCTATAAGCCTGCTGGTGGTCTAGAAGCTGTGAAGTACATTGGCCTGTAAGCCTGTTGGTGGTCTAGTAGCTGTGAAGTACATTGGCCTGTAAGCCTGTTGGTGGTCTAGTAGCTGTGAAGTACATCGGCCTATAAGCCTGTTGGTGGTCTAGTAGCTGTGAAGTACATTGGCCTGTAAGCCTGTTGGTGGTCTAGTAGCTGTGAAGTACATTGGCCTGTAAGCCTGTTGGTGGTCTAGTAGCTGTGAAGTACATTGGCCTGTAAGCCTGTTGGTGGTCTAGTAGCTGTGAAGTACATTGGCCTATAAGCCTGTGGGTGGTCTGGCAGATGTAGAATCATTGGCCTATAAGCCTGTTGGTGATCTTGTAGCTGTGAAGCACATTGGCCTATAAGCCTGTTGGTGGTCTAGTAGCTGTGAAGTACATTGGCCTATAAGCCTGTTGGTGGTCTAGTAGCTGTGAAGTACATTGGTCTATAAGCCTGTGGGTGGTCTGGCAGATGTAGAATCATTGGCCTATAAGCCTGTTGGTGATCTTGTAGCTGTGAAGCACATTGGCCTATAAGCCTGTTGGTGGTCTAGTAGCTGTGAAGTACATTGGCCTATAAGCCTGTTGGTGGTCTAGTAGCTGTGAAGTACATTGGCCTGTATGTTGGTGGTCTAGTAGCTGTGAAGTACATTGGCCTGTAAGCCTGTTGGTGGTCTAGTAGCTGTGAAGTACATTGGCCTGTAAGCCTGTTGGTGGTCTAGTAGCTGTGAAGTACATTGGCCTATAAGCCTGTGGGTGGTCTGGCAGATGTATAATCATTGGCCTATAAGCCTGTTGGTGATCTTGTAGCTGTGAAGCACATTGGCCTATAAGCCTGTTGGTGGTCTAGTAGCTATGAAGTACATTGGCCTATAAGCCTGTTGGTGGTCTAGTAGCTGTGAAGTACATTGGCCTGTAAGCCTGTTGGTGGTCTAGTAGCTGTGAAGTACATTGGCCTGTATGTTGGTGGTCTAGTAGCTGTGAAGTACATTAGCCTATAAGCCTGTTGGTGGTCTTGTAGCTGTGAAGTACATTGGCCTATAAGCCTGTTGGTGGTCTAGTTGCAATGTTGTGAATCATTTGTACTTGTTATTAGCAATGACATTCATCTCATTACATCTCCATACCAATACAAGTTTATGGCCGATAAGAGTACTTTAATTCAAGCCCACATTAATTTATCAATTTCCTCCCAATTTTCACACCATCTCTATATACGGGTTCGCTGCTGATGTGAAACGTACTTTGAGCCATTGCCTGAAACAGTTCATGGTAGTTATTGAATTACCAAGCTCAACAGAACAACATTCAACTGAAGAGCCATAACTGCGGACTGTGGTTACAAGGACAAACATCAAAAATACCTCAATTGAAGTGGAAGTTTATTCCCTTTCTTTTCCCTTTCTTCATTAAACTACTATCTATGACAAAATTGTAAGAAATAAAAGTAGATAATTCAAAAACTTGTATCTCTATCACTAACATATTTCTTAATTCTGGCAACTTGAATTTCTCATACATCTGGAAGTTATAACTTTTGCTTTACTCTGGAATCTAGCTACATCAAAGGGTTCAAGGATATTCTCATAACTTTCACACACAGAAATTCCATTATGGAGTATACATAATCAAATTAAGGACAGATTAATTAAGCATCTGTAGGAGTTATGGGGTAATACACTGAATAAAGGGAGACAACCTGTGGGGAACCTTTTTAGATTTAGTTTAAGATTATGATATTGATAGACAGGTTTACAAAAATGTTTTGAACAAGACAGCTTTGATAGTTTTGGCAAGATCACCAAACTCAACCTTTAGTTTGTTGCCTTGCTTTCAAATTTATATTACATGGGTGAGCAAGTAGTGACAAATTGCAAAACACCTCTTTTCAAAATATCTGCCATGAAATCAATGACACAATTAGGCATTTCACCCCTCTACAACAATTGGTTGGCTCCCATGTTGACAATTTAAAAGCAGAGCTAAAGGAAAGTATGGATCAATCAATATCACACATGTGTTATTCATGGCTTCCCACGCCCAGGTCTTGTGACAAAAATGGGAGCTTTCCTCACCCAGAATTTTTAATAAGGCAACAGAGACCTTTCCTCTCAATCTTCACAAAGAAACTGGGAAAAACATTTCACCCATACATTGTAATGGTGGAACAGTAAACATATAACACCAAGAAATTATTGTAGACAAACAGGGGGGCTTTTCACACCCAGAGATTGTCAGGGGGAGAAAGGAACTATCTTCCCACAATAAGGGTTTGAAGAAGGGGGAAGTTTAACATTTTATTAGGAAACATTATTAACTGAGCTTTTTTTCACACAGATAGATTGCATTAGGGGAGCAGAGATTTTCATTGCACTGGAAAATGGCTTCCAATTGAAAACCAGCCACTGATACTGGGGGAGTAGCATAGTTTCCTTTTATAATGGAGATACTTTAAATGGGTTACCAATTCCTAGAAATGATGGGTAAAATAGGAAAACAAGAAAGATTAATGTTGGTAGCTTTTCCAACCAGTAGCAGCGGTAAATGCAGTGCAAAGATTCAGTCAACCTACCAACACTAAGAAATGGCGTGAATAAAGTGGCCGACTGCAAAGAGCACTGGATGTGTACAGATCAATAGAAACTGGAATATGTGGAAGGACGAGAATACATGAGTAGTAGGTTAGGAAGGAGGGTATTATTGTTAGGAGAGGTGGGAGGGGGGGGGGGGTTACTAAAGCCAACTGGAAAAAGCAAAGGGAGTGAACTCTGGTCTCTGGAAATGAGGGAGCAAGGAAGAAGTTGCTAAAGTTGGAAGAAGGCATTTTGATGTAGGGCTTTTTACAGTGGTTTTAATGGTCATGGAGACAATGGGGGTACATTATTGGTTGGGAGGTGGGGGAGGGGGTCATAATGACAAGATATCTGAATGGTTGTAATAGAGATTGTATTTAAGACTGGTAGAATGGTGGAAATGGAGCAGTATGAGGAATGGGACAAGAGTACATGGTTTAGATGTTTGCTAGATACCAAGGTTACCAAATGGGTCAAACAGGTGAAAACAACAGCCATTGAAAGTGATGGAGATTCTGCAGGAAAGTCACAACACCGTGTAGACAATGGTTCTGGAAAGGCAGTCAGTATGGAATTATTTTCTGATGTATTAAACACACATTCAATTCTCTAAAGTGATGAATTTTGATCAATCACAAAACAAGTTTAGTGTAGATGATCTATTTCATAAGAATTATACTGCTCAATTCAATTCAATCTACATGTTATTGAACTTTCCAAGATAGATGTGCACTCAATATTAATTATTCATATTTTGAAACATGAGCCAATCAATTCTCCCAATTAACTGGATCAATTTACCACAGACAAATTTACTGCATGAGAAAAATTGATGATCGTGTTGGTTATTTAATTTACATCAAACAAAGAAAGCTCCACAGGGTACTATCATATAGCGTGTCATCAAAAAGACAAATAGTCCCCCCTGGGAAATACACAGATGGTATTGAACAGAAAGTGATAAACATCAGATTCAGACTTTTCAATGATTTTCTTTCTTTTGCTTACATTTCTCCACATATACTCTCTTGTAATCTGTTGACAGAAATCAGAAGCATATAACCTAATATGTTGCCATTTAGCATGTTCTCCTGCGGGGCTTTTAAATGTCAAAGTTATCTACTTACTAAATACAGACTGTCATTACAAGACATTTTAATACAAAACAAACATAGAATGTCAGAGGTAACACC